ACTGCATCTTGCGATGGAGGAAAAAGCTAAAATGACCGGACCCCATGTTGGCATGAGGATTCGGTAAATGTAAACATTACCCCCGATCCAGGGCGATCAGGTCCGGCAAAAACAGAACACTGTTCTATTTGTTTTTGCAGACCTGGCAGGAGCCGGGGGCAACCGGATGTAAATGGACCCCCGTCCGTTTAGATCTGGCTGCCCATAGACTTACATTGGGCATCTGATTGGGTCCGCCTGAAAAACTGACAGATGGACCTGATCGGACCGCCTGTCTGAAAGGAGTCTGGTTCTGCACTGCGTCTCTGTGTGGAGGCAGTCATCTTGGTAGAGGCAAGACTTTGACTCCTTATATCAGAGCCTCCAGCAAGGAGAACAGTGAGTAGCACAGGAGTGACAACACCAAATCTCACTCCAAATCTTCTGAGACTAGCAGTCAGACCCCCATTCACACTGAGCTACATAAAAAAAGCTTTTTCAGCCACATTGAGCTACATTGCACATTTTGTCGCACTTCTTTTGGCAGTCTATCAAAGCCTGTTGGGGCCAAATCACACAAAATCAGCTGGAAAAATAGGTGATGCTCAAGCAACAAGCTTGAGCTACAAACTACAGGCGACAATGAGCTGCGAGATGTGAACAGCTCCATTGAAATGCATTGGACGAGCTACACTGGGCGATGTTTGAGTGGAAATCGCGCTTCAAAACGCTCAGTGTGAATGAGGTCTCAGGGCCGGTGCACATCTAGGCGACACCTCACCGGATTGCAACGCAGTCAGGAGTCGCCTAGGTGTGCACCGATTGCGCTGTGGGTGCCATTATTTTCTAACGTCACCCCAGTCGCACCGGGCGGATCGTGCAGTTTCCAGCTGCGTGTCATGTATCGCAGAAAAAAAGGTACATGTACCTTTTTTCTGCGATTGCCGCACGGATGTCATCCTATTGAAATCAATGGTGCCGCATGGCAATTACGGCCTGCATTGTGCAGGACCGCGCGATCCCGTATGTCTGCACCGGGCCTCAGAGGCAGCAGATTTCACACTGCACATACAGCTATGAGGTTGTAGGCACAGGCATGCTTAGGCCCCCTCACATACTGGGAAGTGCGCTGCTATTTTTCGGGAGGAATTTAAGACAAAAGGTCATTTTCTTTTCAGGGTGCTGCTTAGCCACAATTAACATTTCTAAATGTCCCCTATAAGACAGCAAAACGGAGTTCAGTTCTACTTTAAAGACCATATCTAATGTATCACCATGAGACACAGAGTGGCTACTATATGGCTAGTCTGCTATGAACACTGAATTTGTGTAAGAGATCCCAGAAAAAGGTAAACCTACTTATACAGGCGTATTTATGAATTCCATTTTTATGGAAGTTTGCCAGGGAACCCCGTCTATACACTAGCATTCTCTCAAGGTTGTATTCTATAACGTTGTGTGGATTCAGTTATGTCTGGAGCCAATGTATTTATCCAATTTCCAGCAATAAACTGTCTGGCTGCAAAAAGGATATGAGCTATTAACAATGTAAATGTATTGGGAATATTAACAGTAGAGCTACATCAGGGGAGGGTTGTAGAAAGAAGCCAGTTGCTTTACAGATATTCTGAAAAACACTTCTTCAATAACTAGTTAGATACTTGGAGGTTCAGAAAACATGAAGGTGCCTGACCTGTCCACATCCTCTCCAACACAATTGTGAAATGGAAGGTGTGAAATGAGTTAAACTGACAAGGGGTGTAACACCAACGAAAAGCCAGTTTTTGGCTCGGTTCCCAATGGTTGGTTCATCAGGACATGGTGGAATTTAATCGGACAGCATGTAGCCACTGTTATGAATAGTATGAGGATCCTTTTTCTATGTTTGCATATGGATGGATTTAAGAAATACAAGTTTGGCCTGGAACAGGTTATAAAGTACAGATATGCCTTTTGGGACCAAGTTGGAGGACAGGAAATAGGACCCTTCTACATGTATGGTTAGGAATGCCTACTACAAACTTCCATCTCACTTGGAACAACAGATACAGCAAATGCATTGCAGGGAAAAGGACCCCCCTCCCCCCTTCTTCAGGGCTTGAACAGCAATTTGAATTGCAATCAGGATGAAATTACATAAAAAGTCTGAATTGAGGTTGGTGTGTTTTGACGGCATGCATACATCCGTTGTTGAGCAGTTGGATTAGCGTGATCAAAAAGGCAGCAGACTAAACCCAGAATCGGGTCTTGACGTCCACCATAAACAAAGCTCCAGCAAAGAATACGCATTTTATCTTTGATGCGTTTGGATTTACCTCTACCTACAATTTCATCTTTCCATATGAGAAAATATAATTTGCCCATTTATTGCTCTTTGCATACCATTTTGTGATAGAAATATAAGGAATTAGCATCTTGAACGCCTTCAAAAGAATTGGTATAGTGCGCAATTGCTTACCTGGGATGGACGCCTGTTGTAAAGAGTTCCATGTATTTAGAGAGGCTTCAATTTGGAAGTCGGCTTATCATTATTTGTGAGGAACAACAGATACAGCCAATGCATTCCATGGAAAAGGACTCCCCCCGTTTCCCCGAAAATAAGACCTAGTACTATTTTGGGGAATTGCTAAAATATAAGACCTACCCCGAAAATAAGACCTCGCTGTGACCACTCCCAGGGCCGGTGGTGGTATAAGGGGGAACTTGAAGAGCCGCGGGAGAAGCAGGAGAGAATCAGCGGTGCCAACGAAGCCAGCGCTAGAGCAAGCGAGGCGACAGCGGAGGGAGCAGAGCTGCATAAGCCGATGCCTCCTCTATAGCACCGGCTCCTGTCACAGGCGCAGGGATACCAAATGCACTCCGCCTGTGAGGAATCGATATTGAAAGCGCGCTTCGCTCATTCTGGCCAGCAATTGGTTAGCAAATTGCTCTTGGAAAGGTAGGGCACCCCGGATCACCATATTTTTCTACATGAATAAGTGTGGATTGATGTACATAAAAAAAAAAAGAAGAAGCCCTACCCCGAAAATAAGACCTAGTGTGTTTTTTTGAGCCAAACAAAAAATAAGACAGTGTCTTATTTTCGGGGAAACACGGTAGCTATAGATACAGAATTCCTCCAGACACTACTGACGGCTCTATATCGCACCAAATATGTCCTGTGAGGGGTTAAACCAATATTTTGTTTGGTCAGTTATGGTTGCCTTATAATAGTCCTATAGGTCTGGATATCCCACGACTCCTTTAGATCTGTGTTTGACTATTACTGCATCAGAACATCTTAATCCTTCAGACAAGAGGCAAGAGCATTTTAATGAAAGCAAGATGAACCGGGATTGGGAGAGTTCGAAAAACATATTGAGGGGAATTTATCAAAACTGGAGCAGACAGAATCTGGAGCAGCTGTAAATGGCAACCAATCAGCTTCCCCCTTCAGTTTGTTCAGTAGATATTTGAAAATGAAAGAGAAGCTGATTAGTTGCCACGCACAGACGCTTCAGGTTGGATAAATTCCCCTCATAGCATTTTAGGGAGGACAATTATTTTAAAAGCCATTATTTTTCCTGTCCATGATAACTTAAATTTTGACATATGGGGCAACTACCTTTGAACCCCCGGGAAGCCAGGGAATCAAAACTGGCTTTGAATGGAAGTACGAAGGGTTAGGTACGGGTAATTCCTAAGGAGAACTATGGGGAAAAGACTTAACCCCATAGTTCTCCTTTAAGTAGGAATTTTCCTGTAGGAATTTTTTAAGTAGGAATTTTCCTGACAAATGCATTTTTTGATTGTTTTTATTATTTGACTTATAGATATTAATTGAAGAAGAAATCTTTTCACTTAGGCCTCATTCACACGAAAAAAAGCCGGCACGTACAGCTCCGTTCTGCATGTGCGGCCGTATCGGGCCGCTCCCGGGAAGACAGGAGCTGCGTGTGATTATTACGCAGCCCCCGTCCTTCTCTATGGGAGTATGCGGCCGAACGCCGCCCTACGCTCGCCCTAAGTGCACGTCTGTGCGGGTGTCCGTACGCTGACAGGATGGATCCTGTCTGTGTCCGAGCTGGGACACCCGCACAGACGTGCACTTAGGGTGAGCGTAGGGCGGCGTTCGGCCGCATACTCCCATAGAGAAGGACGGGGGCTGCGTACTAATCACACGTAGCTCCTGTCTTCCCGGGAGCTGCCCGATACGGCCGCACATGCAGAACGGAGCTGTACGTGCCGGCTTTTTCTCGTGTGAATGAGGCCTAACCCTTGCAATAGGGCTACCCCCGCACTGCAAAGGGTTAAGAGCTCATGTTTTTCTAGGTGCAAAAAAAAAGTTGTGCTTACCTGATCTTTGGAGCCTGCTTGCTGTTAGACAGGTTCCTGGAGCCTCTCTCCCCCTCCGCTCTAGAAGTCTAAGGTCCTGTGAGTCATCATGTCCTATGCAGAGTGTATAGGACGTGAATACGCCGAGGGACATACCATCGCTGCAACTAGGAAAGAGACAGGCTGGAGGAAATGCTGTGACAGCTGGCTGGCTCCAAAGAATTGGGTAAGTATAACTATGTTATTTTTGACCCTAGCCAAAAACGAGCACCTAACCCTTGCACTGTGGGGATATATACCGTATAATGCAATATTACAATAAGAACATTTGATTTTAAGTACACATAAGGAAGAAAATTAAAAGAACGTTTGTTTGTCCATATATTTGCATAGGACGAAGGTTCACAGATATTTGGAGGGTGAACGGCCCTGCGAATTGTTTTTAAAATCAACCCCTTTTTTGTCAGCATAGCTGCTTGTAGCCTCCACCATGGGCATATGTGAGAGGGTGACAATGTAGAAGCCCAGCTGGTAGACAGTTGTCACCCTATAACAGGAAGTCCCTGAACAAGGACCTTTATGGCAGGACCACCAGTCTTTTTTTTTTTAATATAAAACAACTATAGAAATGATGATAACACTTCTGATCATATCAGGATTTCAGTATTTGGGTTTACTTGTCTTTTGGGACTAACACACTATCTTACCATCAGGACCCCCTTGCAGCTTCCTGACTCAAAGGCTGCATACGTCTGGTGCAGAGGATCAGGTTGTGTCTTTTCTGGAAATTCCTAAACCTTGTAGAACATACATTATACTAAATGCTGGATCAAAGAAAACTGCAATTGTACCAATAGCTTCCATGCTTAATTTTCCCAGTGCAAGGTTTCTAGGTGCCAAGTGCTTTTATTGCTCCCCCCCAACTCTAGCTTTAATATAATGACCCAGTCAGAGCTCATTTATCAAGGTGTCAGCAAGAAGAACTCCCCATATTCTCATCAATCAGATTCAGGCTTTAAGATTTCAACAGTTATTTTCAAAGGCCGGACTGAATCTGACCGGGGACTTTGGGGTTTCTTAGTACTGACACTGCGATACATCATGCCAAGTATACTAGAACATAACCGTTTATTGTTAGGGTGGACATCAGTACATATATTTATATCTCTACCGCTGCTTCACTGAAACCTTTGTGCTGGTGGCCGTTGACCACGTCCACCTGAGTTCCTGAGAATCAAACTGGCAAGATGGCATGTGTACTCAACACTCCAATCAGGCCGATCTACCTGCACAGATGCCTAGTTGTTTTACTCGCTGCAAGGTAACATTCAGATTACTAACACATTGTGGATCCAAAACAATTGTCTTTCTTAACATTATGCTTGTTTCAACCCCTTTGTCATATCTCGGTATTGCTGCTCTCCTGAAGTCTTTTTGCAGCCACTGCCTGTGTACATGCACTCCAGTAATGGCTGCGTGTACAACCGCGGTATTGCCTGCACACTGAGCTTTGGCACGACCACATAAAGCCTCCATTGGAAGCTCAGGGAGACAGTGCAGGAGCGCAACTGGGAGATATGGACATCCATCCGTCTGTCTTTCTTTCTAACAATCCATCTGTTTATCCACCTGTCTGTTCTTCTGTCCATCCATCCACCTATCTGTATCCATTTGTCCATCTATCCATTGATCTGTCTGTCTGCCTGTCTATCCATCCATCCGTCTACCTAGCTGCCATCCATCCATCCGTCTATCTATGCATCCATTCATCCGTTTTCCTGTCTGTCCATCTGTCCGTCCACCCATCTGCCTATCCACCCATCAGTCTACCTGTCCATCCATTCATCCGTTTTCCTGTCTGTCCATCCGTCCGCCTGTCTGTCCATCGGCCTATCCGCCCATCCACCTGTTCATCCACCCGTCTTCCTGTCTGCCCATGCACCTGTCTGTCCAGCCGTCCGTCAGCCCATGCACCTGTCTGTCCAGCCGTCCGCCTGCCCATCCACCCATTTGCCTGTCCCACTCGTCTGTCCGTCCCATTCCTCCACCTGTCTGTCCGTCCCATTCCTCCGCCTGTCTGTCCGTCCCATTCCTCCGCCTGTCTGTCCGTCCCATTCCTCCGCCTGTCTGTCCGTGTATCCCTTCATCTCTCTATCCATCCATCCATCGTAGTGTTGGATACCAGTGGCACCTGTAGCTCTTCCATAGAAGGGTCATTATTAAACCGCTTTTAAAGGGAGCTGCAGTTTTTACTTTTTTCGTTGCAGTGACAGGTGACTTTAAATGCCAGACGTATCCGGAGGATGTGTACTGATACAGAAAAACATGAGCATGCTCACAGTAGAGAAGACTAGATGGATTATTTCTGCTACTCACCTTGTGGTTCGGTTTCTGACTCATCCTGATTGAAAGCTTCACAGCTGTCAGTTTTCCTGCGGACATACAGGGCAGTGTAAGATTCTTTATATAGACAGGTTCCAGAAGAGTGTTGTGTGCCTTCCTGCAGAATCTACAGATTTATACAGACAAGTCAGTGATATTTGCTGCACATAAATATAGAACCAGTATATGGAGTCCGTTGTATGGGAAGCAATTTTCACACCAACATCTTGAACGCAAAGCAAACTAGAATGACATCAGCACATGAGTCAACTGCGTTCATTGATGGACACAATGGAGATCCTTAAATCTTGTCGGTTGAGTTATAGTGCCACCTTCAGGAGTAGGACACTAGGCACAAGAAGAAAGGCGCAGCCCCTGCTGATGTTCTTCAATGAATAGAAGAGAAATAACACCAGCTTCAAGGTGGTGATACCTTCAGTCAGCCACATAAGACAACTGTCATTTCTTGTTCATACACATCCAAAAATGTGATGCAGACAAGATTAGATGTCAATGTAGACAGTATTAGCTGGATCAGGCAGCGGATGGATGGGTGCCATTGGAGTACTATGAACATCCCAAGCCAGCCCTTTAGGGTGATACCTCAAAGACTGTCTAAATAAACACTTATTTCCTATGCTCATCACCTCCATCTAGTGGCCATAATGCGGTATTACATTATATTTGATCTGAAAAAGAACTTTCATTTTTGCCTCCATTTGCACACAAAAGATTTTCCGGGGCGAATGGCTCTACGAATTATTTTTAAATAATTGGGTGTTAGCACTGCTGAATGTGCCTATGTGACACTCCAACACCCAGGGGACAGAAACGTAAGAGGAAGGTCCCACAAGTGTCTACGAAGGTCACACAGCGTATCCTAAGAACCAGAATACAATGCTAACAATAGTGTATGAATGTCATGACGTACCTCATGCCAAACTGATTAGTCTTGACTAATCGCTTCAGCCTGAAACACACCATGGCATTCGTATACCTTTGCTAACATTGTGATCAATGAGCCCAACTTATCGATGTTGTCCAACAACAACTTTATTTTCTTTTCAGGTCGATTGTAGTATTACAATATAGCCACTAGATGGAGCATAGGAGCACAGGAAATAAATACTAATTCTCCTTAGCTCCATCTAGTGGCCATAATGCAGTATTGCATTACATTTGACCTGAAAAAAAAACATTAATTTTTGCCTCTATTTGTACAGAACACAAATGATTTGCAGGGCGAATGGCTCTACAAATTATTTTGAAATAATTGGGTGTTAGCACTGCTGAATGTGCCTATGTGACATTTCCAACACCCAGGGGACAAAAACTTAAGAGGAAAGCCCCACAAGTGTCTAAGAAAGTCACACAGAGTATCCTAAGAAGCAGAATACAATGTTAACAATGGTGAGTGAATGTCATGACGTACCTCATGCCAAATTGATTGGGCTTGACTAATCGCTTCAGCTTGAAACGCGCTGCAGCTTTGCTAGCGCTGTGATCTATGAGCCCAACTTATCAATGTTGCCCAACAATTCAAATCTTATGTGAAAAATGTGTGACTCTTGGGTGCACACTCAATCCTGATAAACAGATCCCTATGTTTTTTTATAAACCTCCTGGTTCTTCAGATATGCTGCGTGGACCTGTCATTGAGGTCTGGCATGTTGTATTCAGCAGTGAAGCTGACAGTAAATCGGAGATGGACAAGAGCTGAGTCATCCCCTGGCGGTAGCAGGTTATTGTTTAACGCCTTTAAGGTTGTAGTATTGGCTACGTATTTCTGCCGCAGGAAGTGTCTGGCTGCCCTCCAATCTGCACGGACATTATATTTATGCTTAGGCAATCCAAGCATGCATTTTTATGTGAAAATTATGTTTTGGTTGTCGGATTGTGCCCACACAGCTGACCCCACCCTCTGATGTCTACGGCCAGCTAGGTGCTATTCTAACCACATCACAATGAATATAAATGTCTTCAGTCTGCAGTGTGACTATTATAAAGGCCATTATTACACGTTTCAGATTAGCTTCTAAATATAGCACCGCTACTATGGGCTGGTTCCTGTTTTACTAAGAATATAAATATTGCACAGCTACAGGCTCATTTACATGCTGCCAAGATCTGCACACTTTTATATTTAGTCTTTCAAGGAAAAAAAAAAACTGTGGTTATTTTAAGCCTAAGAGATTGGCAGCGTGAATGACAGTAACAGCAAAAAGAAAAAGGCTACAGATCAGTAGAATTCAAAGCCAACTCCACTAAAGCCCAATGCGATTTCATTTATTCTTGTACGGGTCCTGGCATGCCCTGGATTTACATCTTTTCGGGACTCAGTTGATGAGATTTCTTTGCGTCTTCCACTCTGTTCCCAGGAGCCCATATCATAGTCTGCAATTCTGTATAATATATGGAGTGCGATGGGGCTGCATCAACTGACACTTAAAAGGAGAACTATGGGGTAAGTGTTTTTCCCCATAGTTCTCCTAAGGGTCACAGGAGGACATAAACTAGTGTCCTCCCGTGACCCAAAGCTCAGTATATAGCGAGCTACAGCTCGCGGTATACTGAGACCGCCGCAGCCGGGACGGATCCCGACATTACTGTCCATCCATCCCAAGAACCAGAATACAATTCCAACAATGGTCCCACAAGTGACTAAGAACTTTAATAAGCCTCTACAGGTACAAGTACAGTAGATGATACAAGTAGAGTCCATCAGCAGTCTACTAGTTCTCTCTAGGGAACACTGCAACTGCGCTGAGATCAGAAAGCCTCTCAATGTACCCTGGCCTGTGTCTTGCTTAAGGATAAGGCACCTGGGGCTTTTGGGCTATCAGTGCAAATCAGTTTTTCTTTCTCACTGTACAATACTTTTAAGGTAAACCTGTGGTATTGAGTACTAATCGTAAACTGGCTGCAGATCTGTATCCAGATCCTCCAGATTCCTGCATGCATTTAAACATTTTTTTTGTAGAGCTCTCCATTGGACTCAGATCGTGGGGGACTCTATAACTGACAATGAAACCCCAGCCTGCATGGTCACCATAAAGACCTGTTCCTTCCCTCACCTTGCACCTTTCTATTGTCCAGTGAGGGCACACAGTTGGCCAACAGACAAACACGAATAGCAGGATAGGGTGGAAAACCCGGCATCCATTAAGGCTGTGGTTGCATTTTCCTTTATAAAGCACCCCAGGATTAAAGGTCACTAAGGTGCTCCTCAAAGAGCTTTGAGTTGCCTCCTCCTGCATCTGCAGATCATCATTACACCACCCACAGGTACACTTTAAAGTGGAGGATCCTTCAAATCACCTCTTCCTGGATGAACATATCAACTTGGAGCAGACCTTCAGTACAGAAGAGCTCCAGCTATGACAAGATATTGGAACTTCTGCACACATTTGTACAGATATTCATTAGAAGCTTCTTCAAGCAGAACCCGTAGAGCTGCGCATAGCCTACAAGTCATTTTTGTCTGTGTCCATACCAGTCACCCAGGAGTTTGCGGTAATGCATCAGCTTTTCTTCAAGCTGCTTCTCCTCTTCCTTGCAGCTATGAATGGCTTGATTGAGAAGGGACAGGAGGCTGTAATATCAGCAGAAGAAGAAGAAAGGATATAAGACATATATGTGGGATTTACAACAGAAGACATGGGAGATTCATGTGATGCACTTATATAGCAAATCGGGACTCTAAGGAACTATTAACATGCATTCTGTTCTTACCAAAGTGGTTGCATTAGGTAGTGATTGCTGAAAGCTACAGCCTGTAATCCCATTAGGGTCCGTATTCATTATTCCCAGAAGAGAACTCAAGGGTGCTTTAAACATTTTTGTATGCATTTTCTTTTCTTATTTAAGTTCAAAGCTACAAAATTAACATGTTCACTTGGTTTCTGCTTAGTCCAGAAGCTCTGAGAAAGAGAGCCATGGACCCTTGAACCGCGTTCTAATTGGCACAACACATAAAGGTCAGCAACCTACCTGACTGTGTGAATTGTGGTAACACTTGCTACAGGTTATTATCTAGAGAGCAATGCCCTTCTAAGTGATTCACAATCACCTGATCTAAATAGGGTTATTCAAAGTGTATGTCAAGGTATAAAAAATAAATAAAATGCAACACATCTGTTATACATGCAAATTCCCCTGTGTTTTATCACCCTAAAGACCCAGCAAGTACAGCAAAAATACCTTGTGATCTGCCAGAATTGCGCTGCTGTTGTGGGCTGGCAACACAGCATTTTTGTGGAATGAGTAGTGTCAGCCCTGCTCATTGTCTTTTGCTAAACTACTCAACCACTCTCACTCTCAGATCTCAACCACAGAAAAGCTAATTATTCTGTAGCCCAAGATAAGAACTAGGAGGGCTCAGGGACCATCCTCAAGCACCATCTAGTGGCAGTAGTGCCGGCATTCGCCCAGCAATACACTGGTCAGCAGATTTATAAATAAGCCCCTAAGTATTTAATAGGAGTAGATGGATAAACGGCAAACCTAGCCAAATAGTAATTGTAACTATATTTTGCTAAAAGTATTTTATTTGACATAATCCTATAAAGTATTTGCATCATGGCTGTATTTAACCACCTAGTGCTGACACAATGTGATGTTTTGTTGGTTATAATAAATATGTTGTTATTATAGGAAGATTTATCTTCATAGTTGTTAAAGTGAAATTTATAAATCTTCTGCTAAAAATCTCCCCACTTTGCATAACGATGACAAAACGTTGTGTTCTCACATGTGCGAGGAGCTTGAAGACAACATGATGAAGTTCTCCTGTCTGGTTAGGAAATGTCGGTCCGTATCACCTAAAGACAGAAATAAAGCCTATGAAGATCATGATGCATTATAGAGAACCTGGGACAATGCAAAAATTGGAATATTGAGTCTTAAAATGTAATCAAAGTGCAAGCGTGTTTATGGAAACATTTCAATGTGCCTCCTTATTAATGGTAACTTAGTCTGGGGATAGATTTAGCCCTTGTGAGTTAAAAGAGAACCATGGGGTAAGTGTTTTTCCCTATAGTTCTCCTAAGGGCCACGGGAGGACATATACTAACCTCCTCCCGTGACCCAAAGCTCAGTCTATCGCGAGCTACAGCTTGCCGCAGCCGGGACAGATCCCGACAATGTTGTCGAGATTCACCCAGCTGAGTGAATGACAGCTGGCTCTGCCTATCTAGAGGCAGAGCCAGCACTGGAGGATTGGAGCGGGGAGGGAGAATCCCTGCGGGGAACCCTGACTGACAGTCACGGCTCTCTGCAGAGATAGATCAAGAAGTGAGCGAGTGACGGTATGTTTTCGCTCACTTCCCGATCTATTCAGCCGACGTGTGACAGTTTCATTGTCACACATCGGCTAGAACTATGAGGATGAGTTATTTTTCACTCACCTCATAGGTCTCCTTTAAAGCCAAATTCTGGCTACTCCCAGAGGACCACCGAACCCCCTTGGATCCCCTATGTGAATTTTTTTTTTTTTAATACTTACCTTCTCTACATGGTCCTCTGTCCTTTAATATTTTCTCCCAGCAGTGGTTGGTGCTTAATAATGCAAGGAGCAGTGCTGATTTCATCATGTGCTCTCTGCATTAATACACTGTGAACCCTATGATAATACCCGAGTGGTTTAAGTCCATTACACCCTTCACTCACTGAGTGTCCTCAGCATTCAGGGTTAAATAATACCGGGCGCCATTCAACTAGGAAGACTAAGGACATCCTTTGGCGAAGAGGAGATACTGCAAGGGACAGTGCTGGAGTAATCGGGTATTGCAGCCAGAGCTGTTTTTATAATGGGGATAGTTTCAAGCCGACGTGATTAAAATTCCACAAATTTCTTGAAATCTACCAACGAATATTTAGCACAAGGACATTCCTGACAAGAAACAAACTTAAAGCGGACCTTTCCCCATATCTTTAAAATAACAAACACACCTTCAGAAATGTTTAGTAATGACAATCTACAAACACAGACTTCTAGATAATTGCCGGCTTTGTATTCTTTGCATTCCTTATTTCTCTTTTCTTCCCCAGTTTTCTGACAGTGGCCATGTTTACTAAGGGCAGATTGCTAGCTCTCCTTTCACTTCCTGGATTTCTGACACATGTGACCATGCACATCATCTCAGGGGAGGAAAATGCCTTTCCCTGAGATCTCCTGAGATTACAGATGAGATTTCCCAGCAATGCTCTGCTGATGACAAGGTAATCCCAGTGTGCATTGCTGTGCCAAACTGAAGTCATTTTGCCCTTTCAAAGCAGGAAGTGAATTTTTCTGCAAGTGTAAGTATTTCAAAATCACAGCATTGTGCACCTGACATGTCTATGTTATTATTAATAATCATCATACATAGAGGGATGCATTCATACATAGGGGTGTAAAGGTCCATTTTAAAGCAGAACTTAATTCACCTCCTCTGACTAGCACCAACATATTATCCCCGTTTTCTCCTGGGTCTTCTGGGTACCAGGTGTTTGGCTATCTTGGTTGGCCGCTGGGGCATGAATGCACTACCGCGCATCCACATTGCAGTTTAATTATCCTGGCAGAGATGTGCCGAGAATGTACAGTGAGCTGTGCATGCAGATTCTTGTATAAGCCCAATCAAGGCTGGTTCTCTTTAAATAATAAACTGTTCATATTTTTTTAAGCCTTCTTCACTTGAGCCTGATTTGTTGTGATAACCCCAGAGTTTCACTTATACATTATTCCAGGCACATAGGAAGGGTATTAAACATATCATTTGTGCTGGATAAGCTGTCAATGGAATCATTCATTAAGACCAAATTGCTAGTTATGTAAGCTGTTGTTTATTAGGAAAGGGGACATAAGTAGAGTTTGTGTTGTGAACTGGATTCCAGAATTAACCATTACTGGGAGAGTTTATTTGGCACAATGTGAATGTATTCCGGGTCCAGATTTGATTCAAAAACTAAGGAAACCATTATAGATAATGTGCATGTCCAAAGTAGTCAGGAAGGTTCAGGGTTTGACCCAAATCGCTCAAATAGGTCATCCCGTAGATTGAGAGGAGGAATGGTGAACTAAAGGGAATCTGCCAGGATGGTGATTGCCAGGGCTGGATTTACTATCCCTGCCGCACCAAGGCCAGGTTCTGCTATGCGCCCCCCTCCCCACATCCCCCCCCATCAACGGGGAATGGCAACTGGATGGCAGGGGCAGTAGGGTTACTTCTAATTTTTTTTGTTTCTTTATTTTTTCCTACTTTTTTTATCACTTTTTTTATTTTTATTTATTTTTTAAATTTTT